TAAATAAAAAAAACTCTTCCTCTTTTAATAACGGCTCCACTGTTTTGCCTATGATTCTCTGTCAATGCCAAGGTTGAAAGGTACAAGAGGATGTAAAAATTAAAACAAGAATGAATCCTTTGAGCTGATGTAGTAGTTTAACTTCAGTAGATTAAGTTTAACTTTAGCTGATGCGTAGTATTTACGTGGTAGAACAATGCTGCAGCTATATTTTGGTTGCAGCACGAATGGGGTAGGACCACGCTCTCATAGAATACCAGCGTAAAATAGCAGCTTAATGCTGTTGTGTTTCGTATGGTGAGTGTAGAGAACCGGAGACCCTTTTTACTGGAAACGAGGCATTCCATCTCAGTCCTCAGGGGTGACAACGCATCAGCATTTTGATTCTTAATTCAAGATAAATGTAGATGTCTATGGGCCCTGCAGACTAAGATCGAAGGCCTTATGGCGCCGCTGTCGTCGCGCCGCAAGCGAAACACACCGAAGCCTAAATCACGCTATCAATATAAAATATACTTTTTTAATATAAAAACAATTAACTGCAGCTTAAAAAAAAACTCATTTTTATTGCGTATTTTAGGTAAAATTTCTTATAGTAAGCCACACCAACCCGCCATTGCATGTTTGTGTGTCTATCTTTATCTAATCTTAGCGACTTAGTATAAGTGAGATAGTTATATGTTTATTTAAAATTGTTATTAGTTTCAAAGCTACGTCCTCGCGTTTGGATAGTGGTTACACTTTTTTCGACCCGGTAATGTGGTTTGCTTTTGCTCCTCTAGTGTTGTAACTCAATGTTAATAATGATGAATTAAATGTAATGTTGGAAGCCAAGGAATTATGGTTCGATCAATAATATATAATATACTATATAAGATATAACATAACAAAAAAAATATATATATATATATATATATATCTCTCGATCAATTATATACTATATTTAAAAAAATATTAAATATAGTATATAATTGATCGAAGGAATTATGCGTTATAGGTTGACTTTAGCTTACACACAATATTGACACGTGCACCAAATGGGTAAAATAAAAAAAGACTCAAGAGATGGGCGCCTTCTACCTATAATTTATACCATATACGTGATAAAACACTCATGCCTATGGGTGTTTTATCACGTTACTTTTTACAGTAACCGACTACAGTCCATGTAGTCTAGCTATACTCAATGAGCGACCCGCCGGGCCTTTGTGATTGGCTCATCTAAAGTACAAATGTATTGTACAGCACTGTGTTTAATTTTCGCGCCCATCAGAGAACGGGTGATTTAAACGGGAATGAGAACCGAGCACTAACCGCGATATATGCGTGAATCGGATCGCAGCGTACTATTAGTCATCTGTGGCTGCAAGACGAAACGCGGGATCCACGAAACTCTGCGTGTCGCTTTGTTTGCCGATCGTAGCTTGTTATGTATTTGTTTACATACCTAGTAATACAGTCTGGAAGTAGTCACAACATCATAACAACCCATTGGTCTTTAATTGCTCAGACTAAGTTTTTGGTATTAGATTACTGGTAAACAGGATACTTTCAAGTACCCATAATTTTACAATCACGTGTTGTTCACGAATTGTGCCTATTAAGTTTTTAATATTAGATTACTGAAAACATTTTATGAAGTATAAACGTTATAGAAGACACTAACTCCACTGTAATTGTTATTGCTGGTCAAACAAAGGCGTCATACTTTCAGTCAACGTACATTGATTCGCTATATAAGCCGTTGCATTTAGAATAAAATGCCCTCCCTTCTGCCAAGGAGGGTCGCGTTCGTATACGGCTTAGAGATCTCTCGTCAGATCGGTAAGCCAATCCATAAAGGCGGTGTTTATTGGGTAAAAGTCTCCATATAACCACGCAGCCGGCTGCGTGGTATGCTATGAGCATTCACCGCCTCCCTCCCCCGCTTTCCGGAGGGTTGCTCATATTTGCTTCGGGCGAAAAAAAGAATAAAATGCATTATGGAACTGATCGTAGTCACGTTACCACTTAGTTAAGCAAGCCAGTATTGCACTAAATTAGTTTTAATACATAATTGTAACGTAATACTTATTAAATGTCAACGACACATATTTTGTAGTTAAAAGATTCAGTACCGCTCCCGAAACTTAACTACCTACGCTACGCTATGGTGGTAACAGGCAGGTAGATAAATAATCAATTCAAAGCTAATCTTACCCAGTAATTGCAGTTAATTGTGTTCTTTGGAATGAAATTATTATTTTATAATGTCAAGTGTGTTTTCGAAGCATAAAAGAAAAAAATATCTAGTAAAAATTGATTGTTTCAAGATGAGTGGGAAACGGATTATTTTGTTGTGCCCATTGAGTTATACAACACTAGAGGAGCAAACCACATTACCGCGCGTCGAAAAAAGTGTAACCACTATCTAAACGCGAGGACGTAGCTTTGAAACTAATAACAATTTTAAATAAACATATATCTATCTCACTTACACTAATTCGCTAAGATTGGATAAAGATAGACACACAAACATGCAATGGCGGGTTGGTGTGGCTTACTACAAGAAATTTTACCTAAAATACGCAATAAAAATGAGTTTTTTTAAGCTGCAGTTAATTGTTTTTATATTAAAAAAGTATATTTCATTTTAAAATCTTTATTACGTCCCCTTAGAAAAAAAAGATACAAAGCTTATCAGATGAGTAGAAGTAAACATAATGAAATAAAGTAATTTTATTGTACTAATAAATCAAACAATATAAAAATAGGTAATAAAATATAATTAATATAAATTTATACGAAAATAATATAAAATAAAATTATTAATATAAAATAGGTAATAAAATATTTTAATAGATTATTAACGAATAAACCAAAATAAGAATAATTAATTATTTTGTATGAAAGTTGAAATGTAATTTTTATTATAATTTCCAAAATATTTAAAATCAGAGGTAACAAATTAACTTACTCCATTAATTATATAGTTTCCCATTAATGTAGGATAATCACAAATGCGGAAAAGTGGCAACATTGAACCTAAATGGCAATATTCGATAATTTTATTTAATTATTTGAGGTTTTTTACGTTTATATGAAAACAAGAACTAAAAATTATGTATTGAAAGTGATTCCGCTTGATTTTTTACGTTTTTGTGACCTTGAATAGTATTCTTTCACTACGCATTTACCCATTTTTTGTCGCGGCTCAACTCTGTCGGCGTCACATTGAACACTAAGTTGACGTTAGCTAGGCATATGGCTGTGGCCATATGTGCAGTGGCAATGCTTTGGTGCCGTTATTACTGATCTAGTGCAATATAACTGGGTTGTTAGTAAGTTTGGAAGATTCCTACTTCCTAGTATTTAAAACAACTAAATTATTCATAAAAAACCGCAAGGAACATGTAATATCAGTTCGTAATCAATTTGCTTGTGAACTTATTTTTACTGTAGGCTGTATATTTTATGACCAGCATTGGCACTAATTAGTGCTTTAGCTTACTTGTATTATTGTGATTTTCATTTTCATCAACAAGTAAGTAAAAACATATTATTTATCGCCGGTAAGGTTTTAAAATAAGTGTTACGGTTAACCAAACAACACGAACACTTTTAACACATGTGAGGAAATTATAAAGTGACGTAATATTGTGTTTATTAAAACTTGACTTTAGTTGGTGTTTATTTAGTGGTGTTAGAAACTATGATGATATAGATAAAAATAAAAGTAATTTACACTAATAATTATAAATTACAGTATATTGACAACTTCCTGCACTTACCAAAAACAATATCTACAGTACAAGCTGTCACATATTGGAAAACATCGAAATATTCCTTGTTAACTTGTTCACTGAGCCTCTCAACAAGAATCTCAGTTTGTTTTCCGATAACACTCAAATATTCTTTGTTGTGAAAAATGGGCTGTAAGACTTTTCTGTGAGATTTCCATAGATTCACTGAAATCGATATTATTATTTAGTGTCTATAAATATTTTCACCGCAGATGTCTTTATATGTAATTCTGAGAGTCGGTTTTTTTGACCAAGAGAAATTGTTCAGGCATTTATAATATGTATCATTTATTCATTCATCACAACTCCTATCAAAGCCTATCGGTGAAAATAGACTTCCCCCATAGATTGCACCATATTTTCCATTGTTGCACACTTGGCATGCGGGTATGCAACTGCAGTTTTATCATTTGAAACTGTTATCAGACAGATTTTGCTGCTCATAAACCTGTTTTTAGTATTAACCTGTATCGCATCTTACGATGTCAGGGGTTGATATGAGGTTGTAGAGTTTATAATAAAGAGTTAATTAGAAATGGCAGATAACCATAGGATTAAACCATTTCGATTATAGCACAATTAAATAACGAGCAAGTGTTTAAAGACGTAAGCCCTTCACTGCTGCTCATTTTTTACGTCCTAGTAAAAAATTAGCTCCACCTATCACAAAATTACAAACAGTCAAATCAGGACCCTATGGTATGTGTGTAAAAATTTATAATAAAAATCCCAAATGTCTACAAAAAAAAGAATCGTTGTAGAAATTTCAAAGAGAGCTTAAAAATATTTAATTGAAAAAAGTTTCTATTCGTTGTCAGAATTTTTCTGTGAAAAATATTAATTGTTTAATTCGATTATGTATACCTCTTAAATATCGTTGTAAATATTGCAAATGTTTATTAAACCTAAAAGTAATGTTTAGTTTAAGTAAATAAAAAAATATTCATCTTTCTAAATTAAGTAAATTAAATTTATATATAACATAATACAATATAATATTGCTACGCCCTATCAGGGCCCATGTCTGGCTCTAATATATCCATCATAAGAACTATTTATGTAACCACATGAACGCTATAAAATGTTTAGAAAACTCAAACAGTTTAGACGTACGACGAAAGACGAATTTCTTGGTGATAGAACAGATGAAATCTGCAGAGAATGAATTAAGATGAAGCTTAGGATGGGCAAGAAGATTAAAAATTAAAAAATACTTACATGGCGCTATAAAAAGACCACGTCCGAGCCACGGTCTCAGAAAACGATATACTCTGTCTTTATCTAAGCAATTTTCCAAAACAGTTTTTGCATCTTCTGCGTTGCTTATAACTGTGTGCAAAAAAATAAATATTTAGAAGATTTTAAAAGTTATAGCCTAAATATGTCACGGCTAGGCAGCGTCCCTCACTTCTGGTTATTTTTGACGGACTCTACATGTCTTCGAAATGTTTTAGGCATCAAATTAGATATTAAATTATGTATCAAAAATGGATCCGGCAGGGATCGAAATTTGGTTACCCGCTTACTATACTAAACAATTATATATTCTCATCGAGGTCTCATAGTAATAGTAACTGAACATTTGCGTTCTAACATATTATACTAAAAAAGGACGTTATTTTTTTTTTAATTGTATAGAGTAAGGGTGTCCAATGAGCACGCAACCCCTGAGCTATTACGACAATTAGATACATTAAGAGTGTGAGTGTTGGGTATTCAGAAAATTACATAATATATGTATTAAATACAGGTAATAGAATTAGTAGGTATCTTTCTATAGGAAGGTATTTCATTTTCAAGTAATTCATCTGTTTAAACTCATCTTAATTTTCTCCGAGCAAAGGAAGATCGTCTGAGAAGTCTTAATATGTGTTTCCCGTAACTGAACTGCCTATTATCGCCAATTCACTTACGACATATTTTAAATTAAACTACAATATTTACTGTTTGAATATGAAAATGGTTGCCATACGTATTCAAGTTATTAAGTCATAAAGTTATTGAATGATCGTGTAACTAACTTACCCACGTATAACTTCGGACCAAGCCATAATTTCACGGCTCCCTTGTTTTTATAACTAATTTCTGCTATATCTTCAAGATTCTTAACAACTTCTGCAAATTAGATAGAATTTGTAAGTCATTTGCCCTTTGGTATTTGTAAGAGTCGATGTTAGAAAGATATTATCTATATCACAATTGCCACACGAACACAAACACGCCGCCTTTTTGACGTCTCTTCCTAGGACAGAGTTTTTTTTTTCGAACCAGTGGCATTTAAACAAAGGAGTGAATTAAAATCACTATTATTTATAATATAAGTATATTGAATAAAAAAGATTCGGTTCGCGTTTCCTTTGCCATACTTCTAATGTCGCGCGCGTATTCCAGTTTATCACTTATCACCCATGAAACGCATTTTAATATTTTGTATATTATTTATTAGTTTGCAACCTATCTTATTGTAATGATATTGTTAACACTAAAAATATTCATATATGCAGGTGGCTAAGCACCGTACCATGTGGCTTTTGAAGGTCTATAATAATAATAATGAACATTAAAAGCTAATTTGACACTTACTTTCACAGTCTCCCAAAAATATCATAGCATTTCCTAATACAGGCAAGCAAGGTGGAACGGGCAGTGATGCGGTGGCGCGATCCAAACGCTTCTCATAAACTTTCCAATGTGCCAAATAGATGCAGAGGATCATCACCAGAACAATGAAAATTATGATGACTCTGGTTTAATATAGTAAGAACCTGTAGGTATAAAAATGAAACAAATTGAAGAAAACTACAAGCTGACTAGAAAATCAATAAGCTGGAGTGGCAATGGGCCGGCCATATAGTTTGAAGAACCGATAACCCATGGAGAAGAAACATTCTACATTGGCAGCCTTGAACAGGTGAGCGAAGTGTGTGCCGGCCTTCCACTAGTTAGAGTGACGACCTGGTGAGAGATGCAGAAGTCGATGGACCGTACTTTGTGCTCTTCCTTGGGGGATGTTATGTTCAGTAGTAAGTTTGTTGACTGTAATAATGGTGACGCCTGTTTCGCGCTGGAGTAGGCGGATGTCATGGATTTCCACTTTATAAAATTCTGGCAATTTTGCGGTGTTATTTACATGCATTAAGTAATTTATAAATACATTCTCGTCTAATACAGTATATTAAACTTAACCTGCATAATATTAATAATTAAATTTAAATAAATCCCCGAAACAAATAGAGCCGATGATCTTCAAACGGTTGAAAAGATGTTCTTGAACCATAGCTAAGAATACTCGATTAAGTCACCTTTCAAACAAAAATAAACTTAAATTAAATCGGTTCATCTTTTTGGGAGCTATGGTGCCGCAGACAGACACACGACAAACGAGCACACAGTCTACCTGATGGTGTGGTGGATGCTGTGACTCATAGACATCTTCAATTATCCTCGATTAAAAATTAAAAATACAGATGCGTTGTCACCCCTGAAAATTAAGATGGAATGCCTCGTCACCAGTATAAAGTCTCCGGTTCTTCAGACTCACCAAACGAAACACAGCAGCCTTAAGCTGCTATTTTACGCTGGTATTCTATGAGAGAGTGGTCCTACCCCGGCCGAGCCGACCCATTCGTGCTACAACTTATATGGCTGCAGCGTGGCTCTACCACGTAAAATATGTATGTAGATAATTCATCTATCAAAGGAGTTAAAAATAAGATTACCAACGAACATTGCTGGAACGAAAAGGTAAGTCGGATTGAAAACAAACTTAATTTTGCAGTCGAAAAATGTTCTTCCATACATCGGTAATCGGTACCACTGTCGATGCTATGCTATAACTGCAAAATGTAAGTTTGTGATCGTCAAAAATATTTTTTATGCAATTTAACTACAAATTAACGATTTTCAGAATTCTTTTTACTTGTGCTGTGTAAAATCTTGCTTCTCGCCAAGTTTCATGATTCTAGGTTAACGAGAAGTACTGTATTACTAGGTCACGATCATGAATTATAACCTGTGGCTAATGGACTTCCAAAGAACCCAGTTGGAGAAAGGAAAATAATGATAATTTTAAATAAGTATAATTTAATAATAAGAATATAACATTTGGTAGCTTTTTTGATTGTGCGTAAAATGCAATATTTTTTAATTGTTATTACACTTGTAGAAGTTGAATCGTTTCTGATAGTATTTAACATTCTATGTATAAAATAAAGTTAACATCGCAATTACGTTTATTTTATTTTATTTTAATTTATTATTTTTCATAATTTTTCTATCTGTTATCATTTTAGAACATTTTAAATAAATTAATAATAATGAAATGTTTTTAAGCATAATTATGGAATTATATGATTTTATCTGCTCCAAATATAACCAAATAAAAGAAAAAAAAATACACAAGAAGGCAAAAAAATAACACAAAATAGGAAATAATCCGGCGATATATAATATAATATTTATTACGAATACTCACATTTTAAAATTTTAATATATTGTGTAAATAGTTTTTTTTATTAAATTATGGATACGGCAAATACGGTTGCCGGCAAAAAGCTCGCTGATTCAGACTCAGGTCGCCATATAGAGAGGAGACATATTTACGCTACCAGGTTTTAAAACCAGGTTTTTCACTTCAAAGTACTACTTCACTTCGAAGGCCGAATGCTTGAACCAAAATCTGTGTTGCACCAGCTATCCGATCGGATCGGGTCAATCAAATACGCTAACTTAAACGAATCAAATTAAAGAGCATAATTGCGTAAACATGCAATTCACATATTTGTATTCAAAAGAAACATGATTGCATGTATATTACTTATTTGTAAGTAATAACAATTATGTTGATATTCCAGTAAGTAAAAGTTCTGTTTCGATTTTTTATAAATTTGGTTAAGTTGTTATTGTGAACTGATTACATAACCTACTAACCGTGACCTAATTTTTAAATAGTTGTTTCTCTTGTTTGTTGAATTTAGAGCCAATTTTTAAACTTTTATTAATAAGTTTTTGAGTATGTATATAAATAAAACTGAACTTTACGGTTTATTAGTTAGAAATGACTATTTTATGAACTGTAAGTAATAGTGTAGTTAATAGTATTTTATGTGTAACGATCATAGGTTCTTGTTGTTAATAGTAAATAGATCTACGTACATACAAATCCATAAGTATAGCTCCTAAGAAATGTTTGGTGCGGGATCATTTTGTGGACAAAGGAAAAAATTGCAAGATGTGCAACGTAATTATGTCGTACAAACCTGGAGTGGCAAACCTTACCAAACATGTACAGAGAAAATATATTTCTGTTAATTTAGTGAGAAGAGAGCAAGATGTGGAGCGTCTAGAGGTACCGGCCCATGCTTCACAAAGTACACAATTTACGACATCCAATACTCCACTGACGCACCACCTAGTACAATAAGGTACAATATAGCCACCATGCCCACTATCTCAGTATTACTCCGACATGATTATCAAAAAATAAAAAAGCAAATTGATGATCATCTTATGAATTTGTTTATAAATGAGATTTGCAGCCATTTTCTATAATAGAAGAGGTTTCGCGAATTGATAAAGTTTGCTTTCCCAAATTATGTGATACCATCGTGAAAATATTTCGCCAATAATTTATTGCCGTGTTAGTATGAACAGGTAAAAACTAATACTAGAGCAGCTCTAAGTGAGATGCAAAAAGTAAGTAAGATGTATAAAGTAAATATCGTTCAATAGTGGAATATTCTTGACAAAGTCCTCCTTGTAGTACCAGATAACGGTGCCAACATCAAAAGTGCTAAAGCTACACAAAGTATTAGGAAGTTCTTACATAAGCGACTTAATTAATAAAGTGAAGGCTATAGTTACCTACTTTAAACGAAGTTATTTAGCATGGAATAAATTGAAAAAATACCAAGAACAGGTCTAAATAAAGTTGTAAAGACTCTAATCCAAGCAGTTGTTACAGGGTGGAACTCCACATTCTACATCTTACACAGACCAGTTGTGAATGGGATATATGCCAGTCGTGTATCATGGCGTGCGAAGTAACGAGAGAAATAAGTGGTCAAAGACATATAAGTGGAAACTCAGTCATTCCGTTAACACTTGGTCTCACCGCGGTCTAAGATCACATGTCTGATACTATGGCAAGAAAATAACATTGACGTTTTCTCTGATAAGTTGTAATGTGCCGACAGGATCTCCTCTCAGATATAAGCACGCGATTTTAAGACCCGATATATATGCTATATTTAGACCCGAGGTATAAGTTATACCTTGAGAGTGAAAACGTTGCGGACAAAATGAAAAAGCACATCATGAGCCTAGTAATCGCGATGATTAACGACAATTAAAGATGTCAGTCTTTAGTATCAACTTCTGATGAGTCAGATAATCAGGGGAAAAATCTAACAGTGTATTATGGAAGCACTACAACAGGCAAACAAAATGTATGACCAGCTGGAACCGCCCATAGCAGGGCAATCATTGAAACCCAAAAGTATCTAGATGACGCAGTTTTGTCTCCGGATATGGATCCTTTGGAGTGGTGGCGAATAATTAAAACAATTTATCCAAATAAAGATATTAAAATTTAATTCGCAACCATCCGCTTAAATAAATACAATGACGTGTCTTACCTGGATTGAAAAGCACCTTCCGCCCTCAGGCGAAACACGTGTCGTATTATCGTCGATGGTGTATCTTTTCTGGAATAGTGGTGTTGGGAATAGTGGTACCGGGAGGAGTGGTATTGGGAGTAGTGGTGCTGGGACTAGTGGTGCCGGGGTTAGTGCACGCAATTGCGGGAGGGCGGGAGGCGCTCTTCAATCCAGCTAAGACACGTCATTGTATTTATTTAAGCGGATGGTTGCGAATTAAATTTTGATATTTTTATTATAATGAATTTCCGCAAATTAACACCCTATTCTATCAATTAATTTATCCAAATTTAGCTAAACTGGGCAAAATAAAATTAAACGCAATGGCCTCTAGCGTGCCTTGTGAACGGTTGTTTTCTGTAGCTGGAAATATATTAATGGAGAACAAGGCCCATCTGGGGAGTCGTAAAGTAGAACAGTTATTGTTTCTACAACAAAATAAAAAATAAATCAAAATATTAAGAAAAACATCAAAAAATAACATAAAAATTTACAAAAAAAATAACATAAAATATAAAAAAACTAAAATAATATAGTACAAAATCACGTATGTGTATAAAATGAAATATTTTAACTACACCTGCTAATACAAGTTATTATTCCAGCTCATGTCAAAATACCGTAAAAACACTTCTGTCAACCCTGTCGTCTGTATTAATATAATACCCAGAATATACAACACGATCATATCTATTGTTTTAGCTTAATTGACAATTCAACACGTTAATAACGAGAAGCTTCGATTAATTTAATCTGCGGTTAGGTCTATTGTGTCTTGATATAAAATTATTTGAATGGCTTCTGTCATAGGCAAATTCTATAGGTGGGTAGAGCCACGCTATAGCTATATTATGGTTGTGGCACAAACAGGTCGGTCGTAGAGCCCCGTTAACCGCATTTACTGGGCTAGAGATAATAAATTCAATATCTGCGTTTCAATATGTCGATTTATTAATATAAGGTAATTATATACTAATGTCAAAAACTCAATCGCGTATGAGTCGCTGAGCGTATGCTAGAACTATTAGATACTGATGACGAGACGTGGGTTCACGAGTTT